CACATACATGAATACACCGTACACACACATACATGAATACACTACACACATACATGCGTGTGTGCAGTACACACACACACGTATGTACCACATATATATAGCGTGGCTGTAAAGACATTTGTTCATCCCATCTGACTCCCCTCAGATCGTCTCTACTGCTTCTTTGGGGCCCCCAACAGAAGTGACCGGCCAACAGTGGACCCACCGGGAAACAGACACCTGATTGCAGAACATACCGGTGGTCTCTGCCAAGTTCAAGCCAAGAGCTTGATGAACAGACAGGTAGATAAGTAAATAATGTGTTTTTTAACAACAAGTTCACCGACGGATCTGCATTTGACGTCTTCTGTAGGCGGAACTGCGAACAGCTCTTGGGGTCTGTCAGTATGGCGAAGAGACTCCAGCTGGCCCTGGGCAGCCTGGGAGGCCCCTCGCCGCACTGGGTAGCTGCCACCGTCCTCCCACCAGGTCTGAGCCACGCAGCCTCCTGGGAAAAGCCCTCTGACTCCCCCAGGTTCACCCAGTGCCCTCCCCTGGGGCTCCCGTGCCCTCTGTGTACTCCATCACCAGCCCCCACGTCTGAGCCACTGGGGGTCACTAGTGTCCCCACAAGCGCCTCCCAGAGTGGGTCATCTGGCCAGTGCCGGGACCGGTGGTTTCCAAGCCCTTAATTTCTGGCCTGTGGCTCTCAGCCCTTCTCCCCTTCCTGTTTGAATTCTATACCGGGGGGCTGTGCCGCCCAAGCCACGGCTGCTAGGGGGCCCCCAGGGAGATCCAGAGCACGGGCCCTGGGCCTCTGGGTGGGAAAGACTCAGGGAGGGTGGGCCCACACGGCCTGCTCTGACCCTCCCCACGACTCAGCCGGATCTCCACTCCCACGTGCTGCCTGCTCCCCCACCCCGACCCCTCCTCCCCCGTGCCCCCAGGCCCTCACTGCGCACGCTGCTCCTTGGCCAGGCCGAGGTTGCTGCAGTCCAGAGCCCGGCGCAGGTCTCGCTGCTGGTGCTGCTGCCACCGCTCCCTGAGCAGAGCAGCGCACGCCGTCTGTACCCTCCGACGGTCCCAGTCCATGTCTCGCTGCCGCTCTTCCTCCTGAAGCCTCTGGAGGGAGGAGAGGTGACTCACCACCACCCGTCCCCAGACCCGGAAGAGATCCAGGGGATCATCAGGAGAATCGGCCTCTCATCTTACAGCTAGGGAAACTGAGGCTCGGGCGGTGGGGGGGCAGGTGGGTGAGCAACATCGTGCGGGAAATCAGAGGAGACCACCCCCACCTGCCATCATTCCGGGCGGCCCAGGCGCTTCCCACACTTGGAAGGTGTCAGCCGGCCCTCTGAGGCCTGCAGGGACAGCAGCGGCCAGCCCAGGGCTCCGAGGGCAGGGCCTCCCACCCCGGACGCCACCAGTGGGGCGTGCCGCCGAACACTGGGATCACCCGGTCGCTTCTAGAACATACGGAAGCAACAGCCCCACCCGACAATGGGCTCACGATCTTGGGGGTGAATTTCTGCATCTCAGTTCATTCCCCATTGCCTTCCAGACCCCTCTATAAAAACCACTGAGCCTTCGAAGAGGCAACTGGATGAATGCAGAGGGAAGGGGCCACTCCCCGAAACCTGAGTAGTTTTATCAGCCATCCTGAGTATAAATTACTTTGTCAGCTCACCCTTCTACAGGCAAAAGGAAGCAAAAGCAGGTGGGGCCGGGTCTGAGGATGAGTACGCCTCCTTCCATTCCATGGGTTTCAGGGAAGGGTTCCCGGCCACCCGATGAGCAGGGCTAGAGTGTCCAGTGGCCCCGCAGTCCTGGGTCAACAGACCACCAGGCACAGACGGGCTGGCAGAGGCCCCGGCCCCCCACCCAGGGACTAAGCCAAGGCTAGCGCCTGGTTTTGTCACCTACAGGGTGAGTCATTTTGCCTGTCTAAACCTCAGTTTCCTTTCCTGTAAAATGAGGCTGCTCACAGCTGCCCTGAGTCATGACACAAGATGCTTTCATGAAGAATAGAGAATGCCATGGGGACATACTTGCCCCGGACTCAGAGACAGGCAACCTAACTATTCTTTGCATGATCTCCGTTTTTCAAACGGTCTCCCTACGTGAAAGAGGCAGCAGGAGGGAAGGGCACCGGGGGGGCATACAAGGGTGCAGGGCAGGGGAGTATTTATGAGTGGTGAGACATATTGTAGGTGTTTTTCCCCTTTGTGTTTTTCTGTCTTCATTTTCGACAAAGATGCTGCTGCTTTCCGGACAGATGGTCAACCTTCCCTGCCAGATAGTTGAGCTGAATCGCAAGAGAGAAGGACAGAGCAGGGCCTTGCAAGGGGGACCAACATTCCCTGCATCTGATGCCAACTTCGGAGCTCTTCCCACATTGGGCTACTTCCCTGCCTCAGCCTTGGCTGCCCCCCACTCCCGCTCCCACACACTTGACCTTCTGGGCCTGGAGGAGACCAGGCAGGGGAGATGTCCCACCTGCTCCTCATTCCCTGAGCCAGGCTGCTGCCCCTCCCCCTATACTCGCCTGACCGAGGTACCTGCCATCCCACCCGAGGTGGTCATCTGCTGACCCCGGGGCAGCCCCGCCCACCCTGCAGGCCTGAGAACTTTCCTTTCCCTGGCTTCTCAGCCAGTCCCTCTCCTCTCCAAAGACCTAGGGCCAACCCGTCAGCTGTCACCCCCTGGGCACAGCCTACCAGTGACCCTCGAACTCCAACAGGCATCAGAACCCCTGGGGGGGGGCTTTCCTAGCCACAGACTCTGGGCCCCGCTCCAGGGATTCTGGTTCAGGAGGCTGGGGCGGGGCCTGAGAATCTGCATTTCTCCCAAGTTCCTAGGCAATGCTGATGCTGCTGGTCCAGAGACCCCACTTTGAGGACTTCTGCCCCCACCTTGTCATTACCAAGAATGCCAGCCTCCCTAGGGTCACCATCTTCAAGGGTCCTAATCTCCACCATTCTGATCTGCCTCTTCCACCCACTCTCCAGTCCCCTGATTTCAACAGTTATTCCATCCCTCACCCCATGCCGGGCCCTCCTACCCACTGACCGCACACTTCCTAGTCCCGGCACTCTTTGCGTCTTCATGTCCCTCCTTGCTCAGCCCAACGTCCATGGCTGACACCCCCTGGCAGACACCCTTGGTGCCCTTGAAACTCTCACTTGGTCAGACTTGCGAGCAGGCCCTGAGCATGGACCCCTTACAGCTGAGCGTGGCCAGGGCACCTGACCACGCTCACTGGGGATACTTCAAGTTCATGACCTTCAGCCTCCAGGGGGCCCCCGGCTCTGCCTGGCCATCCTGCCCTCTTCCCCTAGGCCGTTGCCTTCCGGCTCTCCTAGATGACCATTGGCACCCCATTCTCCATCCCCAAACCCCCAAATGGACCCCCTCCCCCTCAGCTGCTGGCCTCCCTTCCTGTTTCTCCAGGAAATAGGGGCTCCACATGCTGCCCCGCCAACACGCCCCACGCCCACGGCCAAGGATGATCAGCCTGGGCTCCCCGAGCATCAGCTACTGTTGCCAGGGCCTTGTGCGTCTGCCACCCGGGCCACGGGCTCCCGCAGGTCCCTGCTGGTGTCAACGTCCCCCTCTCTACTGTGTTGTCTTCGTGGAATGACAAGTACGCTGTTACTTCTATAATCAGAAAGCCAAAACCTTCTCTTGACCCCGTGTCCCCACCGGCTACCACCCCCTTTCCCTGCACCCTTTAGAGCAAAACACTTTGCAAGGGCTGTCTGCACCTGTGGTCTCCCCTTCCTTCCTGCCTGTGACCTTCTGTCTCCCCCGCCCCTCCTCCAAGGATGCTCCAGAGGGAGGCGCCAGGGACTGCCACCTGGATCCAGCATTCAGCCAGCAGCCCAGTGGCACTGTCTGACCCAGGGGCTCCCCTGCTGGGCCCCTCCTCCCTCCCTGGCTTCCCTTCTCCAGCCCCTTCACTCTCCCTAAACAATGGTGGGGGTGCGGGCTGTCCCATGACTCGGTCCTCAGACCCCTTCTGTCTTCACTCACCTTAGCCAGGTTCACTGCCTTAAACACTGTCTGTGTGGCCATATCTCTCTGCCTCTGTCTCCAGCCCGGACCTCGTTCTGAACTCCAGCTGCTGGCTTTACTGGGACGTCATGGCAGAAAATATTACCTGTCTTCCGGTAGCCATTTTTTCTTTCTTCCTTAATAAAACAACTGCCAGCACCTTATGGCCTGGAATAAACACTACATTTCCTAATCTTCTTTACACTTTGGGGCAACCCTGTGACTAAGTGTTATCCAAGGGAATTTAAGTGGAAGTGTCCCATGAAACTTTTGAGAAGTGTCCTTAAAGTGTTCTTCCTCATTCCTTCTTCCTGCTAGATGGTATATGTGCTGCCAAAGCGAGCACTCTTCCTGCTAGGTGGAATATGCATGTGATGGCTGGAGCTCAAGCAGCCAGCTTGCACTAGGAAGTGGGAGCCAGGTGCCAAGGATGGCAAAACATTAGTCAATGACCATGGAGTTGCCATACCAGCCCTGGACTATCTTCCTAAGGATTTGGTCTCCATGCAAGAGACAAGTTCTATTTTATTTAAGATGCTGTTAGTCAGGGTTTTCTGCCATGATCAGGCACAGAATCCTAACAGATATAGATGTCTAATAGGCACTGCACACATAACATACCCAAAGTTGCACTTGTGACTTCTACTCCACCTACCAACCTGCTCCTCCCATAATCATCCTATCTCAGTAAATGCCAACTCCATCCTTCTCACTGCTCAAGCCAGAAGGCGTGGAGTAATCCTTACCTCCTCTGGGTCTCATATGCCACACCCAACCCTTCAACCAATCCTGTCTTCTCTACTTTCAGAATAGATCCAGAATCTGACCATTTCTCAGCACCCTCGCTGCCAGTGCCCTGGACCCAGCCAGCACCATCTCTCACCTTGACCACTGCAACAGCCTCCCCAGTGATCCCTCTCCCCACCCCCACCCCAATGCAGTCCTTCCTCAACACAGCTGCGAGAGGGATCCTGCGAAATGTAAGTCAGAGCGTGTCACTCCTCTGCTCAAAACCCTCCAGAGCTTCCCATCAGTCACAGAAAAAGGCAAGTCTTCCCCGTGGACTGCCAGGACCTTGACCTTCCACCACCCAGACCTCCTCCTGTCCTTGTCCTCACTCCACCTCCAGCCACCTGGCTCCTCACTCTTCCCTAAACAGGTTGAGCTGGTCCTGCCTCAAGGCCTTTGCCCTTGAATCTCACCCTGCCTGGTGGTCGTTCCCCAGATATTTGCGTGGCTCACTCCCTCCCCTTCTTCAAGTCTTTGTTCCAACATCACTTCCTAGTCTCCTGGTGACCCCCCTCAAGCCCCAAATCCTCCATCCCCTTGGCCCAGCCTTACGTCCACCCAAGCACATCACTCATGTGTGGGGTTATTTGACTCTCGTCTCCCCGTGCCCCCGACCCAGAACAGAAACTCCTTGAGGGCTTCCTCTAGGGACGAGTATGGCAGCAGCTATAACCCGATGCTGGAGGAAGGCAGCAGGAGGGTGGCCCAGGGCTACGTGTGCAGGCTCTGTGAGGAGGGGAGGGGGTGGGTACCAGCTTCTCCTGGACTTGCTGCCTCTGAACCAGGCGGATCTGCTCCAGCTGCTCCTGGGTCATGCCCTTCCAGCGGTCGGGGACCACGCGGTGGGGCCCAAAGGAGCTGGCTGCCTGGTGTGGGTTCTCCGAGAGCAGGTCCCCACGCAGCAGGTTGGAGATCTCAGCCAGGTTGTCTTCTTGTTCCTGTTTTTTCTCTCGAATTTTCCTTTCCAGTGACTCGGTGGCCTGCACGTGGGAAGACATTAAGGAAGATGCCCTGAGTGACCCCATGGGGATTGAGGCACAGGTGAGCACATCTCGCTGGGAGCCCTTGACTTGGAAGAGTTTGCTAACGTGCACATGGGACAGGTGGGGTGGGGGCAGAAGACTCGTCAGGCATGGATGTGGGGAGGCCCTTGGACCCAGGCTGCCTTGATGACAATGGGCATGTGGGCTGGGCTGAGGGAATCCCCACCTGCTGGCTGTGTGTGTAAGAACTGCAGGTGTTTGCACTAATTTGCCAAAGCCGGGAGCCGTCTCCTCAGGTTAGGCCACCATCTCCCATTGGCTTGGCCTCACTCACCTCAGGGCAAGGCTCTGTGCCCCTCCCAATGGCCCCGGTCACCCCGGGATAGCTATAGGCCACAAAGAAGCCCCAACAGAGTGATTCACAACAGTGGTGACTTCTTTTTTTTTTTTTTTAAGATTTATTTATTATTTTAGAGAGAGAGCATGCGTGCACAAGCAGGAGGCAGAGGAGAGAGAGAATTTCATGCAGACTCCCCACTGAGTATGGAGCCCAATGTGGGGCTTGATCCCAGGAGCCTGAGATCATGACCCGAGCCGAAATCAAGAGTTGGACACTCAACCGACTGAGCTGCCCAGGCGCACCAAGACTGAGATTTGGGAAGTGTTTCCCACCCACGCCAGCATGAGTTAGCCCACTCCTGACTGGCATAGGTGGGTGTCATCATCATCCCCACTCGGCAGATGACAAAACTGAGGCACTTGGTTGGCTTTTTCAGGGTGGCAGACAAGAGCCTGGTCTTGTCCCTGCCCAGCTGGGCCCCAGGGCCTGCCCCTAACCCTGACACCACAACACACGTCTAACAAAAGGAGCAGGCCTCACCTCCCCGAGGGAGACTCTCCAATGTGTGCCTCCTCTGCTGAGTTGGACTGACCCGCTTCGGATTTGCTCCTGAGGACCATTACCTAGACCTTTGTATTAATATTCCAGGCTAATGGACAAAGCCTGTTTCCAGTCAGGAACTGAGCTGCAGAAGCCACAGGGGGCTTTCCCCTGAACAGGGGGCATTTTCCATGGTGTCGCCTCGTGGTGTGCACGTGAGGAGTTGGGGGAGCCGAGAGTGCCAGCACATTGTAGGTACTCACTAAAAATGTCACTGAATGGGGGTGCCTGGGTGGCTCAGTCGTTGGGCGTCTGCCTTCGGCTCAGATCATGGTCCCAGGGTCCTGGGATCGAGCCCCGCATCGGGCTCTCCGCTCCGCGGGAAGCCTGCTTCTCCCTTTCCCACTCCCCCTGTTTGTGTTTCCTCTCTCACTGTGTCTCTCTCTCTCTGTCAAATAAATAAATAAAATCTTTTAAAAAAAAATGTCACTGAATGAATAAATACATCAACTAGTGCAGCAACATGGTTTCCAGAAAACAACAAAAACAGTCCCCAGCAAGAGGGCTAATAAATAACCTGTTGAGAGAACTGAGCGAGTAAAGAATGGATGAGCAGTCACAGTACACTGAGAATCAAGAGCCCCATCCGCCAGGAATTCTCTGCAGGGCTGGGAGCAAATGACCTCTCCTCTTAGGCGTTGTCTGCAAAATGAAGGGCAAGGACCAGGTGATGTCTAGGATTTCCTGCAGGCTGCTGGTTGTGACCTGGGCTCCAGTGGCCTTGGTCTGTCCCTGGGCTCCACCCCCCCAAGCAGTGCGCCCTCCTCAGACCTCCACAACCCCTCCCCTTCCTGCCCCACTGAAAACCAACATTCTCTCTGGTCTCTGGTCCGGCCTCTCCAGGATTCTTGGATGACATAAATGTCCCACCAGTAAGACATTTTTGAGCTTGTGTCTCCAATATCTTTAGTTCACAATGCGATACTATTAGATCATACAAACAGCATGTACTTCATAACACACACACACACACACACACACACACACACACACACTAACATGGGGATTAAAAATGATGAGGTTAAAAATAAATACTGGAGGCAGGATTCTCCTATTCCCTTCCCACTCTCTGGTGCATCATCCGCTCACCCTACTTCACAGACCATAGTTCTGGTCAACCAGCTCGTGGGCTAAATGAATCGGGGGTGGCCCCCATCCCATCCAGGAAGTATAATCACTTTTGAAAAGAAAATCGGGGGGGGGCATCTAATTAACAAAAGGAATAGAGAACAGGGAATGGCCAGGTGAGGAGGAGTGTTTGGAAGGAGGCCCTACAGAGTTTAGAGAGGAGGGAGGTGTCAGGAGGCGCCAGGAGTTTGTGTTAATCATCACCATAATAATTGCTCCTGTTAATGAGCACCCGTGGACCTGTTCTCAGTAAGGACCAGAGCTCTGAGAGGTGATAGAGAGGAAGTGAAACCACAAGTTGTCAGAGCAGCGCTAGGTAGCATCTGTTTAGGTAGATGTCATAGTCCTCGGTATTGGAGAAGGCTCTGAGGTTTAGAGGGTCAACTGAGGCCCCACCCCCACACCCCAGGCTCACATGACTAGTTTTGTTGAATTTCACACCCCGATTCAGAGCTCAGGAGCAGGGACTGGGTCCATTCATCTCTGTAACTGGGCAGCCCTGGCAGGGCTCTGTCGGGGTGTGGTGTGAGCCGGTGAAGGGCTGAGCTGGGCACAGGAGGCTGGGGCACCCCCGGAGAAGTGGCCCTGTGCGTGTCCTCACCCCCAAGACGGAGCCTGGGGTGTACCTGGCTCTTGTTGAATTCTTTCACAGCTGTGCACACTGCCTTTCTGGTGGCGCTTTCCAGATTCTGTAAATGCTTGGCTCTTTCATCAAACTGCAGCCTTGTCTTCAAGTAGAGGTCCTCTGAAAAGGAAGCAAAATGCAGTCAAACCTTGCGTGCCCACTCCAAGCTCCTTCCCAGGCACACAGAGCATCTCTTCTTACCCTGCCCTCATCCACAGAGCAGGGGATTCAGGTAAAGCTCTTGGGTGTGGGCACGGGGTGTTAGCATTACCACCGGGGATTGCTGATGTTGGCTGTGGTCCTGGGCCGGGGCACTGATCAGTCATCCTCACAATGGGCAAGGGAGCTCTGCCAGGGGGAGCCGAGGATTTTATTCCATACGTAATGGGAAGCCACTGGAGGGTTTTAAGCTGGAATGGAGGGAGTGGGGGTGACACTGTCCAGCTTGACACTGTTTAAAAAGTAGCGCTCTGACTGCTATGTTGAGAATAGACTGAGGGGACAAGAAAGAAAATTAAGGACAATTAGAAAGCCCTCGGCATGGTCCCTCCAGGTGAAAAAAAAGATGGTGGCTTGGATCACCATGGTGACAGCAGGGATGGGAGAAATGGACAGTTCCAAATACACACAGGAGGTAGAAGGATGGGAGTTGAGGGTGGCCTGGAGACAAGAGTGGTTCAAGGAGGACTCCCAGGTTTGCGGTTTGACTAGGGATGGAGGTGTCATTCACTGAAGGGAGGAAGGTGGAGGGAGGAGCAGAGCCAGAGAGAAATTCAGGATTACTTTCCAGAATGTTTTGAGGTGCCTGGGGATATGTCCAGGGGGCAGTTCAAGGAGCAAGACCAATGCTGAGATAAAAGCTCTCAGCCAGACATGGAAACCTGGGAAGTGGGTGAGATTTTTTTAAAGGCCTATGAACGCATTTTTCAACAGGTATCTATGTGCCAAGAATTAAAGATCGAGCAGTGAAAAAAACAGACTAAATCTCCTGCCTTCATTGAGCTTGGGATAGGTTACTAGGGAGAGGGATGACAAATACATAACCATACAGTATGTCAGTAATCAGTGCTATGGAGAAGTGGATAAGAGAGCGTGGGGATGGGAGAGGGTACAGGGTTGCCATTTAAAATAGTGGTCGGGGGAGACCTCTCTGATAAGATGGCATTTCAGCAAAGACCTGTAGAAGGATAAGGGGCAGGATATGCAGATATATAGGGAAATGTTTCCAGGCAGAGGAAACAGTTGGTGCAAAGGCCCTGAGGCAGAAGTGAGTCTGACACACTTAACATTCTAAGTGAGGAAGCCAAGGTGGCAAGGGTGGGATGAATGAAAGGCAGTGTGGGAGGAGATCAGTCCAGACTGTGAAAACCTTGTTGGTCCTTGAAATGAATCTGTTTTTTATTCTGAGTGAAATGAGAAGCTATTGGAAGGTTTTGAGCAAAAGATCTAGCTTAATTTTTTGCAGGTTCATTCTGGTCACTGGATTGAGAAGAGATTACAGAGGGACAAGGGCAGAAGCAGGGAGACCACTTAGAGGCTATTGCAATAATCCCACAGAGTGATGTTGATAGCTTGGTCCAGGATGGTCCTGGTGGAGCTGGAGGGAGGTAGTTGCAGTTTGAGATGATTTGCTGCTGGACTGGATGTGGCATTTGAGAGAAAGGAAGGAATCAAGATGCTTGGGGTTGGGGCCTGAGCAACTCGAACAGTGGAGTTCCCATTGACAGAGGTGGAAGGTCAGCTTTGGGGGGAAGGTCAGTGAGTCTTGTATTGCCTTGGATAATTTATTAGACACCTAAGAGCAGATAGACGTCAGGAGGTGACTGGATGTATGCATCTGAATTCAGGGAAGAGTCCAGGCTGGAGATGTAAATATGGGGAATGATGGCCTATGGGTGGTATTTAAACCCATTAGACAAGCTAAGATCACCAAGAGAACAAGCGTGGTTGAGAGAGGAGAGGTGCAGAGGGCCCCAGTGAGCAACAACATCTGGAGGTTTGGAAGGAGAGGAGAAAACAGCAAAGGGCCTGGGGAGGAGCATGGGACTGAGGGTGTGTCCTGGAAGCCAGTCGAAGGAGTATTCCCAGGAGGCGGAGGTAATCCACGATGGCACAGGATGCAGATGAAGGAGAGGTCTGAAAACCGAGCTTGGGTGGGGCAGCGTGGAGGTCCTGGTGACAGTGGCCAGGCAGGTTCGGGGCAGGGCGAGGGCAGAAGTCTGGTGGGGGTGGGCCATATGGGGAGACATCACTCCTGGAGAGCAGAGTGAGAAGAGAGGAGAAGAGAGGAGAAAAGGAGAGGAGAG